AATATAATATATTATTATTTAATTTTTTTATTTAAAAATTCATTCTTAATGTTATATATTTCTTTATATAATACCATATTATATTTAAAAAAAATGTATATTAGTCTTAACTCTCAAAATAAATTAGAGTCATAACCTTAAATTATATCATTTTATTTAATTAAAATTTAATTCAAAATTTAAAAAACTATATATTGATATTTATATTTGAAAACTGATTATATTAAAATATATAATCGATTTTCAAATTTAGGTATTAATATTTAATGTAATAAATTTTTAAATTTTAAATTAATATTTTGATTTTCAAATATAAATATAAATTTTAATTTTTAAAAAAAATCAAAATTGATACACATTAATCTCTTTATTTATTTAATATTAAGTTCTAATTATAAATTTACAATCCTAATAATACTACAACTATAACATTGCTGCCCTTGAAAGAAAATTTCTCTTAAAATTTTATTTATTTCTTTAGGATAAATCCCCATTTTTTTATCTCTATTTTGATAAAAAAAAAAAAAAAACACTCATTTTTAGTCCATCTACATAGAAAAAGTTCATTGTTGGTCCTTAAAATTTGAAATTTAGCCTATTTTTAGTTCATCCATTAAGTTTTATATATGTAGCACATTAAATAATGGAAATTTCAAATTAGAGGAACCAAAAAAGGGTTAAAAATAACTTTAATTTGTTCCCTTTACTTTAAAAAAAAGCCATTTTTACTTATCTTGTTTGAAATTTCTATCATTTAAGTCAAAACTCATCGAAGGAATTAAAAAAATTCGAATTTCAAACTTTAGGGACAAAAAATGAATGTTTTTAAGTAGAGGAACTAAAAAATGAGTTTTAATTAAAGTAGAAGGACCAAATTAAAGTTTTAACCATCTCTTTATAATCAAGCCTGCACTTATTATAATAAAGAAATCAAATCATATTTGAAATTACCATCCTCTGACTCGCCGCAGATTTGTTTCAAATACTGTAGTTATTTGACTCACGGCTGTCAACCGGGGCCAAGTTGGGCGCGATCTTAATAAAGGACGGTGACACGTTTTTCTTTCTCCTTTTTTTTTTTTTTTTTCTTTTTGAACGGTCCATGATAGATTTTTCTTCCCTTGAAAATGGGTTTTTTTTTTTTTTTTGTGTTTTATGATTACGTTCGCTTAAAGGTATATTTAAAGGTATTAATTTCTTTTGGTCTAATGTATCGAGGAAAATTAATATTTTGGGTGGTGTTATAAGAGTAATTTATTTATATCACTTTTTAATAGAACTTTCACATGTTGTTAAATAGGTGAATGTATTTAATATCATAAATTTCACATAAATTAAAAAAATCAATCATTTAAATGATACGTTAAGTTATACGAAAAAGTGATATAAAAAAATTGTCTCCAAATAATTTTCCTAATTTTTTAGCTTTTAATCCTAAATTTTGAATATTAAATATCATTTATAATATTACAACTATTTACAATAAATTTAAAGTCAAATTTGTAAATTATTTTTTAAAATTATTTTATTAAAGCAAATAATTATCTAAAAAATATTAACGTAATTTGTAATCTTAAATTTTTATTTTTAAGAAATTAATTCAAATTCAATAGTTACTATTAAAATTAATTAAAGTATTACTTTTAAAGTTTAATAAAAAAATTAATGATAACTATTAACTTTAGATCAATTTCTCAAAAATTAAAATTTAAAATGATAAATTATATTAATATTTTTTAAAATAAAAATTTATTTTAATACAATAATTTTTAAAAATTTACACCTTTAACTTTAATCTAGTCCTCAAAAACCTGCCGATCGAGATATTTGGATAAAAAAAAAAAAAAAAAACAAGAGCGGTGAAAGAAAGGAAATGAAATTTGGACTAAAGGAAAAGATTTTCCTTTAATTAAAAGAAGTATTTATTTAAGATAAAAGTGTCATATAGGACATCCTTTCAAATTTTTGTTTCAACCAAAAAATCGTTGTTAGGGCAAAGAAAATCCCGAAAAACGTTGTATTTTTAATTGCTCTCTCTGTTATTTTTTAATAATTTTAATTTAATTTTTCAATTTTTTAAATA